AAAATGAATGAGAGAAAACTAATATTCCATTAAGAAGAGGGGATGGGAATAAGCATTTCTATAGTGCCTGTGATGTGTCAGGCACTCTACTAAGAGCTTTACAATTATTATTTTATTTGATCTTCAAAACAACTCTGAAAGGCAGGCAGGTCCTATTATTATTTCCATTTTACAGATGAGAAAACTGAGACAGACAGGTTAAGTGACTGGGCCAGGATCACAGAGCTAATAAGTGTTTGAGGCTGGATTTGAACTCCAGGCTTCCTGACTTTAGGCCCAGTGTTCTGTCTACTGTACCTCCTAGTTACCAGGAATTCTGAGTAACATGTATAAATAAATGAGAGACATCAAAAGATCTAGTATATAGTTAGGTTCTTTGGCTAATAATGTACTAATATCCTAATAATGTAATCCGTTAGTTTATCCCTCAACTATAGTATCATTATTTTATTCCTAATTAAATGATGAGGTTTTTAGAATAAGGAAGATGAATCCTGTTGACTTATAGTATTGCCCTAAATTAGATAGTATGATTAAGTTTCTTATGATGGGATTTTATTAATGTTTAGTCTATACTGGTAGTAAGAAAAATCATTTACAACATATAATACTTAAAGTTTGCAAAGTCATTTAACTTGTGATAGGTTGTACAATAAGGGATTCATTTTTTCGTAGACTGGTGGAATTTTAAGAGTTCTGGAGGTCTTGTCCTAAGTTTATACATTTGAGAGGCATTGTGGTGTAACGGAGAGAGTACTGGAATTGTCAGGAGCCCTGGGTTTAGATATTGCAGTGACATTTATGAATTGTGTAACTAAGGGCAATTCACTTAACCTCTCACTGTCTTGGTTTCCTTTCATGTAGAATAGAAATGATACTTGGACTATGTTCTTCACAGTGTTGTTGTGAAGAAAATACTGTGCAAATCCCATGGGGCTTCAAATATGAGTTGTTGTTACTGAAGAGGAAAGCCTAGAAAACTTGTGATTTGCCTAAGATCATACATTGCTCTGGCTGTCTTTTTTTATAATGATTTCTTGTTAACTCTAACATTATATTATTGGGGCAAGTTTGAAGGAGACAGACAAGTTTGGGTTTTCACTTAGTATAGCTACCAAGTTGAAATATCTTCCAGAGATACTATGATATTATATCTCTAGAGCTAGAAAGGACCTCAGAGACTATCTAGTCCAGTTTTCTTACTTTATGGATGAGGAAACTAAGGGTAAGAGAGATTAGTATAAATTCAAAATAAATAGTTAAATTGAGAGTGTTGGACTTGATAATGCCCACGGTCCCTTCTACCTCTATGATAAATGAACTAATAACCACCTTACAGACATTGTGGAGATCTTGAATCCTATACTATTGGGATATAAACTGGTGGGAAGTGTAGAGGGTCAGAGGATTTGCAGAAAGAGTTGACATTTTTTTTCTGTGACTCAGAGCAAAGTAGTAGTTATTATAGAAAATGGTCTTGAATAATGATAATACCTACTATTTATTTAGTGCTTTAAAGATTGCAAGGCATTATATAAATATTATCTAGTTTGATTCTTATAACAATCCTAGGAGGCAAGGGCTATTATTATCCCTATTTTACAACTGAGGCGGAGAGAAGATAAGTGACTTGCCCAGGTTCATGTAACTACTAAGTGTGACAGGATTTGTACTCAAGTCTTCCTGACTAAATTCTAATACTCTAATGAATGTTTTTCACCTCCCAGCTGTCTCTATCAAGAGAAAATATTTTCAGTGATTTATTCATGGGGATAAGGCTGGGTATGATGAAACAAACACTAGACTGGAGTCATAAAGCCAGGGTTCTTGACATTACCATTGTGAACTGAGACAAATCACTTGCTTCTCTAGGCTTTAGGTTTTTCCTCCATGAAATTGTGAGGTAGTCTTAAAAGTTTTTAAGTCAGGTGATCCCTTTCCATCTCACCAGTGTCATGTCTGAGATTCAGATCAAGCTGTTCCATTATAACCTTTCAATCCATGTACTTGAGAGAGAAATCTATAGTGGAATGTCATAGGTCCTTTTCCTTTGACCTGGTTCTGTTTATTTTTATGCATGACTTAGATAAAAGTGTAAATTCACTTATTTATTCAGCTAGCATTTCTTAAACACTCTATTGTACCAGGCACTGTGCTAGGTTGGGGATGCAAAGTAAAGCAAAAACAGACCCTGCCCTCACAATCAAAAGGGGCAAATAACATACAAACAACTATGTACACATAAGATATAAGCAGGATAAATTGGGAATAGTCTCAGAGGGAAGGCACTAGCATTTGAAAGACTTCTTGCATTCTGAGGTAGTACTTTTGAAAGAGAGAGAGAGAACAAGTGTAGACTCTAGTTTGGGAAATGGCTTTTAATGATAGGTAGGCTTTGATTATGAGGAGAGAATTCTGTGCCAGAAAGCAGTATGAACCAGGGTATGAATGTGATAATGATCATGATTGACATGTTTGAAATGTGGTGAGGAGACTGTTCTGGCCAAACCAGAGACTTTGTTAGGAAATAATGGCTGATGAGATTGGATAGAGTACAGAGCAGAGGAATTTGGACTTTATCCTGTAGGCAAGAGATAACCAAAAAAGATTTTTGCTTAAAGGAGTGATAATGATGAAAGCAGTGTTTGAAAAGGATAGTATGTAGGGGAGATTTGAAATAGGAAGTACAATTCTTGGAATAGAAGTCCAAGAAGAATTGACAGGAATTAGTGATTGAATATGGAATGAAAACATATGAGTTAAAGGTGGTTGAAGTTTTGAGATCAGTAGAACAGTTGTATCAGCACCAAAATAGCAGTTTTGTGAGATACAAATTTTGGGCAAATATGAAGTATTTGGTTTTAAACTAGTTCAGTTTCAACAGCAGTAGGTTTGCCTTCCTCTCCCTTTACCCCACCCCACCTTTTGGTTCAGCAACTCATAAAGATTGTCAAATAAATCATAGAAGGGTTGTGGTACGTCTCGGTAGAGGGCGTACCTTACACCAGTAACAGATTTTTTGCTTCTGGGTGAACCCCCTTCAGAGAATATAACTCGGGACTTACTGTTTTATGCATTACTGTTATGATAGACTTTTGTTCTTTGTGTGATTATAGTGGAAAACACTAGCCTGAGATTTAAGCACTACATATTGGTTCTGGTAGAGGCAGCTAGATAGCTCAGTGGATAGAGCACTGAGCCTGGAGTCAGGAAGACCTAAGTTCAAATGTGACCTCAGATACTTACTGTGTGACCTGGCTAAGTCACTGAATCCCAGTTTGTCTTAATCCACTGGAGAAGTAAATGAGAAACCACTTCAATATCTTTGCCAAGAAAACCTCATGGACAGTATGGTCTACAGGGTAATAAAGAGTCAGACACGACTGATACCTAGCTTTGGAGCCTTGGGCAAGTCACTTACCTCTGAAGCTACTGATTACTTACCTGAAAATGAGGAAGCTACTAGACCAGATGATTTCTAAGGTTTCCTCTGGCTTTAATATCTTTTGATTCGAAGAATTAACGAGCCTTCCTAAACATCTGTACTTTACAGAACTGAGGAATAGACACTGGGTAAAATAGAGCTAATGTGGCAACATGAAATATGTAACCTTGAAGGACTGAAGATTTGAATGTGATGGTAGCAACAAGGGGAAATAATCAATAGGCATTTGGAAATAGAAATAGAGCCCTGGGGAAAGATAAGATCTGAAGCTGTAAATTTGAGAATTATCCGCGTAGAGTTTATAGTTGAAGGAATGAGAATAGGTCAGCTCTGAAAGGGAGAGTTTTATGATTAAAACAGCACTAAGACTCTTGGGACATCATGTATATACTGTAGAAAAAGTAAATGACTGAGAACTCTTAACTAGGTCTGTATTATCTTTGAGTGCTTTTAGAATGAAACCCTTTTCAGGAACATTGCCTACCCTTCATCTTATCTCTTGAAGATCTTGACACTAAAAACCAGGAAACTAAGAATTTTCTACTCTTTTATTAGCTGCCATGATTTCCAAATAATTTCTGTGATGCTTCATTTTTTAGTATTTGGCATTTAGGGGCGTAAAAAACAAAATCTTTATTTACTTGTTGCAAATGAAGTACAAATGAAAAGTTATTATGAAATGTGAATATCAATTGAAGTTTGAAGCAGTTAATTTACTTATGCAATACTTGAATTCCAAAAGTATGATATCCTGCTTTCATTATATAGTTGTTAAGTAAATTTATGTTTTTTAGGTAGGTACTTTGCTTAGATACCAATAACGTATTGTTAGATACCTTTTTGCCACCTATGGAAGCAAAATAAAGTTTTTTGGTTTGTTTTATGAGATAGCAAACATTGCAACAAATCAGGATGTGTTGCTGACTGCTGTGATGATAATTATGAGAATTAAACATTTGTATTTTTTAATTCAGGTTTTATAACGCGTTTGTTGTCCTTATTTTTAATCTTGTTTTAAAATAACTAAAGTAAAGCGCAGTGGGTAGAGCACCGGCCCTGAAGTCAGGAGGACCTGAGTTCAAATGCGGCCTCAGACCAAACACTTGACACTTAACTAGCTGCGTGACCCTGGGCAAGTCACTTAACCCCTATTGCCTAAAAAAAGAAAAAAAAGGGAAAAACAATGTTAAAATAACTAAAGTACATTTGTCTGTAAAGTCTTGAAGGAGGTAGCACAAACTGTTTATTGGAAGGAACTTTTGGAATGGATTCTAGTCCTAGCTCTAATATTGGTTCTTGTTGCAACCTTAGAGAAGTCACTCAGACCCTCTGTGAAGATTTTCTTATCTGTCAAATTACAAATTATATATGTCTGTCTCAAGTTGTTATGAAACTTAAATGAGATAATATATTAAATACTTTTAACATTAAAGTATAATTTGGTGAATCTCTTGTTAGATGAAATAATACTTTTCTTTGAATGTTAATAAAGTCTTATAAGTGATGTCTACTTTAATATTACAAAATTCGTCTAAGCAATTGTTTACTTTTTAAGGTGGTGTTATCATGGATACAGAAATGACTGAAGACATGGACCACAACTTAACTCCTCCTCTTGAAAGCATGTCTTACGGAATGCCGAATCAAACAGGATCTGAAAATTCATTGCTTGATGAAGATGATTATTTTTTGAACTCTGGGGATCTTGCAGGGATTCCAGTTGTTGGTAGTGACAATGAGGATGAACGAGATTTTAGTACGAAGGACAATCTCACATCTGCAGTTCATGCTCCTGATAGTTTGGAAGTAGATCGAAGAGTAACACAGCATGAATCAGACAGTGAAAAAGAAATACATATTCAAAATAAAGTTAAAAAGGACTTTCCCAAGCAGTTTGATCAGGGTTCTGTATTTAAATCCATTCGGAAAGATTTTAGTCTAGCAAGAGAAAACAACAAAGAGACATTTTCTGGAAAGGAGAAAAATAGAGACGTACCATATCAAGAACGTGAAAAACGGTTGGATAAACCCCATAAAGAGGTGGATTCCAGGTTGAAAAGCAGTTTTTTTGATAAAGCAGGTAATAGTGTAATATGTTGGAATAAAACTACAGGACAGAGAAAACAAGAACTAGATGAGATGGTTCAAATAATCGATTGTAGTTAATTTAGTAGCTCCTTGCCATGGATCTGTTATGTATAAGGGACTGTTCTAGGTCCTGGGGATACACAGGTGAAACAAGCCATAGATCTTTGACACCCAAGAAACTTAGGTCTAATGAAATACGACAGATAAATGTGAAAACGTGATTAAATTGAAAGGGGAAAGTTGAGACAGATTGCATCAAGAATATTGAGGAAGAAAGCAATGACTTTGAATTGGGTAGGAGGATGGGTTATGGAATACTTCAGTTGTCTCATTTATGCCCTGAAAAGAGAGAAGAATTTCCATGAGGTGAAGGTAGGTGAAGTCCATTTTATGCAAGAGAGACACCATGAGATAAGGTACAAAAGCACAGTGGGAAAAGCTGGGATGAGAATGGGGTCAGAGGAGGGTGCAGGGGAGTAGGGCTCTGATACAAGGAGATAAGATTATAAACATGTATTGGAACCAGATTGCAGACCTACCTTGAATGCTATAACAATTTGATACTGTTTTTGGTGCCCTACTTTTTCTGGGGAATCAGTGAAGGTCATTAGTTAGAGTAATAACATTATCACAGTAGTATGTTAGGGACATTATCTGTGCAATACTGTTAACAGATCATTTGAGAGGGAAATGACTGAAGCCTTTTTGGTAGATTACTAGGGAACCAGTGTTAGAGTAGGTTAGAAGGAACTAGAACACCATTTCTTTCCCCCCTTCTTTTTTTGGGGGGGGCTCAGGGAGGCAATCAGAGTTAAGTGACTTGCTCAAGGTCACACAGCTAGTATATTCTGAGAACTTGGGTTCTCTTGATTCCAGGGCTGGTGCTCTGTCCACTGTGCCACCTAGCTGCCCCTAGAGTACCGTTTTAATCTTTTTTTGTGTGTGACATGGAACTCTTTGGTTATTTCTTTTCAGAATAATGTTTTCAAATGCATAAGATAAAATATATAGGATTATAAAGGAATCTAATTTTCTTGAAAAACAGAAGTTTGAAGACCCCCTGAAATTTATCCTTAGATTTCTTTGTGGTCCATGGACTCCAGGTTAAGAACTCCTTGGGCTAAAGAGAGGAAGAGAGGCCAAAATAGCCTGAACTAGACTATTTTTTTTTTTTTTGGTGAGGCAGTTGGGGTTTAAGTGACTTGCCCAGAGTCACACAACTAGGGAATGTTATGTATCTGAGGCCAGATTTGAACTCAGATCCTCCTGACTTCAGGGCTGGTGCTCTATCCACTGCATCATATAGCTGTCCCTGAACTGGACTATCATTAAGGGGGATAGTTGGAATATACATTTGTAAAATCCATAGGATGTGGTAACTAGTAATGGAGGGATTAAGGAGTCACAAGATAATTCTGAATGAAGAGTCAAAGATAACTGATTGTGGATGTCTGAATGACTGGGAAGAAGGTGTTGCCATGGATAGAAATTGGAAAGTTGGGAAGACCAATTTTTTGAGAAAAGGTAATGAATTCAGTTATGAAGCTAGTAAGTTTGAGGCATCCAGGTGAAGGTAATCTAGCACAAGTATGGACTAACAGGACAGAAGTTATGGGTAGAGGGGTTAGATTTGTAGGTAATCTGTATAGATGGCAGTTGAATTCATGGGAGTGAAGGAGATAGCCTGGGAAGAGAGTATAGAAGTAGGCTAAGGGCCAAACCTGGGAGTGAGGGATGGTGGGGTGGTACAGTTTTCATATACATGCGTGTGCACACACACAATCACACATACATATACATATATACCTACACATACACAGACATAATATATACACACACACATACATACATATATACTATAGCAAGAGGAGGAGCAGATGGATGGATAGCAGGTAAAGGATACAGAAGAATTGTTCAGAGAGGTAGGAGGACAACTCTAAAAGTACAGGATCACAAAAGCCACAAGAGGCCAGAATATGAAGAACCCTGCCAGAAGTTAAGAATGGAGACTGAAAAAAAAAAAGTGGCTCTTGGATTTGAAAGGCAGCATGGTGCAATGGAAAGGTACTGGATTTGGGCTGGAAAGACTTGGCTTTTGAGAAAGTCAACCATTCTGGGCCTCAGTTTCCTCATCTGTCAAATGAGGGAGTTTCACTAGGTCATCTTGGGTCCTTTCCCACTTTAAAATCTGTCATTAGTGACCTTGAAGAGAGAATAATTAATTGAACAGTAGGTGAATTGAACAGTAGTTGAAGAGTTAAATGACCAGTGAGGAGGTGGAGATGATGAGTATAGGATATTCCTAGAAGGTGGGCAGCTAAAGAAGACAGTAACGTAAAAGGACCATCAGAATGAATGGAAGAGCAAGACTTGGGCAAGCTTGTAAGAATGAGAGGAAAGAACCAGTAGAGAGGGAAATGGTGAAGATATATGTGAGAGATCTTTGAGCTGAGCTGCTTTTTTTTCCTTTTTTTTTTTTTTTTTTAATGACTGATGGTCATAGGAAATTGGAGTGAGGTAGGATAGGGGCAGTGGCAGAGAGTTTGCCTTGATAAAGAGGAGGGGCAGTTTCATCCTCTGAGGTAAGAAGAAGGGCAGGGCAGATAAGCATATACTTAACCTAGGTTAGAATTGTGGAAAGAGGGGGTTGAAGGAGCTCACTTCTGATAGACTCCATTTTATCAGTATTATATAGATAAGTCAGTTGAGAGTGAAGAAGACTGAGGAATATGTACTAGCCAGGGAGGCTTAAGAGAAGGTGTGAAACTACACTTCTGGGAAATGGAGACTTAAGTGAGAAATGAATAAAAAGATTTCCCAATAAAGACTACATAGATATATTTGTAGTTAACCCAGTCATTTTTCTTCGGCATTCACATGTTCTTAAGTTAAGGCTGAAATGGCCAATTAAATTTTGTGAAAACATGCTGTTTTTGTTTTATCCTTGTTCCTCCCAAGATAACCGATTATGTTCTGTGTGGTCTCTGTTGAAAAATACTGTTAATCACCATTTCTTTTTCCTTCTGCTCCAGCTTTGCAGGGAAAGGCAGAAAATTACAAATTATTTGTTGCATTTTGTTTGGCCATTAAAACATGAAGTTTGATTGAACTTCGTTGTTTGTAAAACTCAGTTTTTTTCTTCTGTTTAGGGAAGTCCCATCTATTAATATTTAGTGGCCAAACACATTTTCAAGTTGATTATTTGTTGACTCTGTATAGACATAAACAAATATTTAATAAATTAACTCTAGGTTATCACTACTTTTGGGGAAAAAATGAAAACAAGACCTAGTTATATTTATGTTACAGCTAAAGATGAGATTATAATGAATAAGTCTTACCAAATTCTTTAATTAGAATCTTACTTTGACCTGCATTGTTAATTATAATTGTCTGTTCTTTTAAGCTTGGGACTCTTCTAGTTGAAATAAAAATGGCTCATGTTTATATAGTAGTTTTTGGTTTACAAAGTGCTTTTTTCACAAGCCCATGAGGTGAGTAGTATAGATATTATTCCCATGTTACAGGTGAAGAAACTGAGACTATATGACTGTGCTCAGGGTCATCTGACTAATAAAAGTTAGAGCCAGGAATCAAATCGAAAACTTATCTTGCCCTAGTCAGTGCTTTTTCCATTGTACCATATTTTTGTTACTTTAAGCCCATTATTAAGAGTTAATGTGCTCGAAATTTTTTGTATGTATGAATCCCACAGACGGGTATTTCTTAGCAAGAACTACTGTGTATTTTTAGTGGAATAGTACTCATGAAAACAGTCATTTTGAAACTAAAAAATGAGTATCTATTATAATAGAATTACAAATGTTGATTAATGAACTGGTAATAGCTGTTTCCTGTGTGTAAGCTTAGTCTTAAGCTGATTAAGATCAGTTTCATTTTATTTAAAGAAATGTTCTTTGATAGGCTTCTTATTTAATCACATTACATCTTTTCCCAATATTCATCTCTAGTAATGATATTTTAACAGGACTTTGATATCCAGGAAATTATTGAAACTGGATAGCATCTGTGGAGCAGCATCCAGGAATATGAAAGGTCTGAGGATGATCTGTATTTAATAACATCTATAAGGCATACATAGTATATTGGGTACTATATTTGGACACACTGAAAAATGTGATTCTGGACTTCAAAAAGCTTCTCTTCTGAAAGAGATAAGACATAAAAATGAGCACAATTTTGGTCAGTTATGCAGCTGACAGCTCGTCTGGTGAAGTACAGTTAGATCTCATTAATTCAAATGAACTGGAAGTAAAAGGTCTGAATTCATATTTTATAGTATGTTTATTATTTTAAATACATATTAAAGAATGGTTTATAAAGTATCTTAAAGTAGAAATCTTGTCAGAAGTGCCTTAATGAATTAATAGGTAAGGATCATACGTAATTATTAAAAGGGGGGATATACTCGTGAGTATTCTTCACACTCATATTTTGTTAAATTCTTTAGGGTTTTATTTTTCATGTTGGAATTACCACATTCGGGATTAGTGATCTGAATAAGCAAGGTTTTCATGGTAGGAGGTGCTTTGCCTCTTGGAAGGAAAGAAAAGCTAGCAAAATGAAATTCTGTAAGAAATTAAAATACATTGAAAGAAGGAAAATTCTTAGTGCTTTGTGATAGGGAATAGAGTGACATTACTAAGGCAGAGTCTTACTAAAGTAAATCTTATGGAATCAGTTAACAAACATTTATTAAATGCCTGTTGTGTTTCAGGCACTGTAATTGGTGCTGGAGATACAGAGAAAGAAATATTTAGTGAAACAGTCACAGGTCTTAATGAACAGAAGAATTGGGAAAATTTAAGAAACATTTTATTGAGAACCTACTATAAGGCAGTTTGCTTTAGGAGGTACCAAGACAGTCTTATCTAGTAAACAGGAAAGATAAGATAAGAAGATTTCATCATTCAAGATTAAATAACAATTTAAGGTAGCAATAATAGAATTTACTCTTCAAAAAATTAATAGTTTAAATAGGTGTAAAATGTTCTGGTGGATGGGGCAGATGGTTGGGTGAAAAGCAGTATTCTAGAGGTGGGAAAGTGTAATGAATATTCAGAGGACAGTAAGGAAAGCATTGTGACTAGTGGAGGGTTGGTATTGGGGGAAGTAATGGGAGATGTTGGAAAGGCACCAGCTTGTAAAGAGCCTTGAATCAACTTACCTTTGGGGATTTTGGAAACCTACTTTAGCTTGAATATCGCTGAAAAGGGGAGCTAATGAATAATTGTTACCCGTCCGAATCGCTTTTTACAAGAATCATATTTATATACACATTTGTTTTTTCCAGTAGCTAATCAAGTTGAGGAAACATTACATACCCAATTACCACAAACCCCAGAAACAAACTTCAGGGTAAGTTTTCAATGTGTATACAGATAGCTATCAATGTGACATAACTCTTGTCAAAAAGTTGCTGTATTCACATCTCTTCCTAACAAAATAATTGATTTAGCTTGTTAGGTCAAGTGCTGATGTCTTTTATTTGTTTGCCTGTTTGTTTGGCTAAAAATATTTTGAGAGACATTCTAAGCAACCTATGTTCATAGCTGCTTTATTCTTGTTTTATTTGTATTCAGAGTTACCTGGAACTGTTACTCTTAGGTGTAGGGAACTTCCTAAGTAGCCATACAGTTAGTTCTTTATTCCTAATGAAAACGTTTTGCTGTGGGTGAGAAAATTAGAGAATCTTAATATTTAAATGTAAATATTCATTAATATTTTACATTCTCTTTTAGGAGTCAAGCTATCCATTCCCCAGTAAAGAATCTATTGGTCCAGAATTGGGGAATTCCTTTGCACCAAATATTAGAATTAAAGAAGAACCTTTGGATGATGAATATGACAAAGCAATGGCCCCACAACCAGGACTTCTGGACAAAATTAAAGATGAGCCTGACACTGCTCAAGTAAGCATTTCTTCTTCTTCATGTTTTTTTTTTAATTTCACAAACTAAATTGATTAATTCCATGAGGTAGTTCTTGGTATTGGGTTTGAAAGGACTTAAGGCTTATTTCTCTGGTTGAGGTGAGGATGGGGGTGGGGAATATGGAAAAGAGTAGAACGGGAGAGAAGAGAATAAGTGCTAGGCACTGTGCTGAGACATTTACGCATTTTATTTCCTTCGATCCTCACAACAACCTTGGGAAATGGGTGCTATCATTATTTCCATTTTGTAGTTGAGAAACCGAGGCACAGAGAAGCTAAGTGACTTTGCCAGAGTCATACAGCTAGTTCAGTGCCTGAGGCCAGATTTGAACTTAGGTTTTCCTGACTCCCAGCCCAGTGTTCCACCATCAGCTTCCTCTAGAGTTCTAAACACATTCATAAGTTGGTAAATTAACAAAAAGCACAAGTGGTTGTAGCATCCATTTTTCTTTTCTCTGCAGAAAGAAGGTAATATGTCTTGGTATTTTTTTTCTTCCTTTTCAGTTATTTTCCCATTTGGGTCCATTTGTGTTCTTGTTCTCTTAAATTTCCTGACCCCCTTTTCTTGTAGAGTAATACTATTGATTTGTGCTTTTTGTTGGTGCTTTGTTGAGCTTATCATTCTTTATTACTTAACAGAGATATGGCTATTCAGAAATCTCTTCCTGTTATTTGCCTGGAAGCTTAGAAAGAAAAAATAAAATTTGAAGAGATTTTGATATTTGGTATTTTATTTGATGAGGGCTATCATTTTGTTTGCTCCTGGTTGAAATTGCATAGTGGTGGACAATATGTGCCAGCTGCTGACTTTTAGAATGAATTTGTTCTAGTTTGGTGAGCATCAAGTGATCTAGAAGAAAATTAGATGAGAATTTTAAAAGTTTGTTAATCAAACAATAAATTTACCCTAACAGGGATATATGTGTATACATATATGTATCAGCTTATTCTTAATTTACTAGATACTCTGATGGAGTCATGATTTCATTGCTATTGTCTTTCCATAACTGCACATTGCCCATCTCTTCACAAGGTTTCTTCCTATCTAACTTTTAACAACCTGTTCCCAAAAATCCTCCATAAAGGATCAATTTAGTGGGTTGGAAACTTTCCACTTAGATGTCAGTGTACCACTGACCCTCTCCACCTGTTATTTCTCATTAATAATACTAATGATAATAAATTTAAGATAGTGTTTATATAACAATTTAAAGTTTGCAAAATGTTTTATCTCTGTCATCTCATTTGATATCATTGTCACTACCTGAATAGTCCTTTTTTGGTCAAATACATTTTTGATAATGGCTTATGTTGTTCCTCTTGTGTAAGTTATTGGTTATGCGCTGCAGCCTATGTGTCTTTACAATGCAATTATAATTTTTGAATTTTAGTAGAATTCTTATATTCTATAATTAGCATAGCATCACCAGAAGACTATATTGGTTAAAGATCTTGAAGTTCCTCAAAAGATTATCTGTCCACCTCTTTCATTTATAGACGAATAAAATGAGGTCCCAGTAATTTTAAATGACTTGCCCATGATCACCCAGTGAGTCAGGAGTGGCATTCAAATGCAAGTCGTCTGATTCCAGAGCTGTACTATTTACCTTGTATAAACCATGTTGCCTTTAGTATTTTTGCAGTGATGGTCACTTTGGATCATCAAAAGGACTGTATAATTTCCTAAATGTATTTCAGCCTTATTTCATTACCTAGATAATTGTTTGTGGTATTCTTTCTTACCTTAGAGTAGATATAAAAGTTGATAGATTTAATTTATTATTTTTTTAATTAAAAAATTTTCTTTTCTTTTCCAAATTCTCTTCATTCCTCCATTTCTTCTCCCAACTATTAAGCAGGCAAGAAATATGATACCCTTTATATATATGAGGTCATATAAAACATATTTCTTCAATAGCCATGTTTTAGGAAGAGTAAGCAAGAAAAACAAAGAATGAGAAAAAATGCTTCAGTCTGCGCTCTGAGTCCACCAGTTTTTTATCTGGAGATGGGAGTAGCATTTTATGTCGTAAGTTGTTTGGAGTTGGTAAATCATTTGATTGATCAGAGTAGCTAAATGCCGTAGCTAAATGCCTTTCACAGTTGATTATCTTTACAATATTGTTGTTATTGTGTACATTATTCTCCTGTTTCTTCTCACTTCTCTTTTCAACAGTTCATATAAATCTTCCCAGGTTTTTCTGAAACTATCTTCTGTAACATTTCTTACACACAATAGTATTACTTGATGAACCGGTTTGATAGACTAACTAGTTGAATGGCATGTTGTTTAGTCATTTCTGTTGTGTCTGACCATTTGTGACCCTTGGGGTTTTTTTTGACAAAGATACTGCAGTATTTTGCTGCTTTTTCCAGCTCATTTTACAGATGAGCAACTGAGGCAAACAGGATTAAGTGACTTGCTTACGGTCACCCAGCTAGTAAGTGTTTGAGGTTGGATTTGAACTCAGGTCTTTCTTGACTCCAAGCTTGGCACTCTATCCACTGTACCAGCCTAACTGTCCCAGTTGAATGGCATAACCTGAGCTATTTGTGTTTTTCATCTACTTTGTTTTTTTAGTGTCAATGGTTAAATTACTTAAAATGTTTAGGATTTCACATAGGACACTATAGTATTTTGAGGCTCAGTTATTATAATGTCTTTTCCAAATTAGGAGCATTTGCCAGAGTCTTATCTTTTTATTTTTTTTTTTGTATCTTATTTTGGACATACATCATGATACTGACTTGAACATTTTTGATAAATATACCTCCTTGTTAAAATATCTCATTTGATTTCCATATTCAGTAGATTTTTTACTCAATAAGGCTGTCCCTCTTGTTATGTCTCCCCTAGAGTTGTGTAAGATTTCAGTGTATGTGCAAGATATCTTGTTTGAGAAGATCCTTCTTGGTTGCATTTTATTCTACATAGATGCTTTTGTGAAATCAGTAAACAGCAAAAACAGCATGTTCTTACTTGTTTTGTGTGCTTCAGTCAGATGTGTGACTATAAAAATGTATTCTACTCTAGAAAATTGACAATAAAGGCTCACTTGTTCTTTCTTTAAAAAAAAAAAAGTAAACCAAAACTGACTGAAAACATAAATTCTGATTCCTTACAACTCTAAAGATAATAGTATGATTAAACAAAGAATTATGGTCACAGAGGCACAGAAATTCACATATGGAAGGGACCTCATTGCCCATTTAGTCTGATCCATACTTAGAAAAAATTGTTATAGCATATCAAATTAATAGTCATTCCTTTACTTGATTAATTCATTGCCACTCTAAAACATCCTGTTTCATCTTACCAAGGTTCTGATTGTTAGGAAGTTATTTCTTTACATCAAGCTTTAGTTTCCTTTTTCTTGAGCTTTGAACTCATTGTTCTTAATTCTGCCCTATAATTTAATTCTTGTTTGAGGTGGTGACACTCCCTCAAGTACTTGATAGTTTGCATATGTCCTCAGGTCTTTTCTCCTGGCTAAAAGTCCTAAGCCGGGATGGGAAGGCCACATGTGGCATTCCAGGTCCTTAGGTGCAGCCTTTGCAGCCTTTTGACTGAGTCTGAACAAACCCTTTTATTAAGGGGATTTGTTCTGTGAAGTTTGGATTCAGTCAAAAGGCCACACTTGATTCTCATATGGTGAAATAAAGCCTTTCAGCACCTTGGTTGCTTGTGTCTGTACACTCTCCTCTAGCTTATTAATATCCTTCCTGAAATTTGACCCCGATAACTGACTATAGCACTCCATATGTGGTAGGACCAAGACAGAGGATAGACTGTCGCTGTTCCTAGAAGCATCAGCTGTTGTCTAGCCATACTTCTTTCATCTTGTACTTGGGAAGTTGTTTTTTTTTTTAACCCGTGTGAGACTTTACATTTATTCGTTTCATTCCAGTTATCTAGCCTACAAAGATCTTTTCAAATCTTGACTGTTATTTAGTGTGTTAACTGTTCCTCCTAGCGTTGCCTCACCTGCAAATTTGATAAATGTGTTTAGAGCAAGGTAGGTGGTGTGATGGATAGAGCATTGGGCCTGGAATCAAGAAGACCTGAGTTCAAATTTAGCCTTAGGCACGTACTAGCTGTGTGACACCGGGCAAGTCACTTAACTTATTTACCTCAGTTTCCTCATTTGTAAAATGAGGATAATAATAACACTTATCTCCCAGGGTTGTTGTGAGGATCAAATGAGATAATATTTGTAAAGCACTGAGCACGTGCCTGGCACATAGTTACGTGCTATATAAATGTTAGCTATTATTATTGTTATTATTATTATCATCTAACCTAGGACACTTAATAGTTATGTGATCCTGTGCAAGTCATTTAACCTCTCTTTGCTTCAGTTTCCTCACTTGTAAAATGGGAATAAATATATGGCTACTTTGCGGTGTTGTTGTTAGGATCAGATGAGATATTTGTAAAGTTCTTGGTATTGTGCCTGGCACTATGTAGTAGTTACTTTAATAAATACTTCCTTCCTCCCTTTTTCCCTCACTCTCTCCCTTTCTTCCTTCCTTTTCTCTCCCTTTCATCCTGCCTTCTCTCCCTCTTTCCTTTTCTGCCTCTTTTTCTTCCCTTCTTCCCCTCTCCTTTCCTCCCTTTTTCCTTCCTTTCCTTTATTCTGTCCCTCCTTCCCTCCTTCCTTCTCTCTAATAATAATATTAAATAGAGCCAAGACAAACATGGAGCCCTGGGACATCCTGTTGGAACCTTGTTTGCAAGTTGACATCAAACCATTAATCATATTATTTACTTGGTTTCACATCCATCTAACTGTGTGGTCATCTTACCCATATCTCTCCATGTTTTCCACAAGAAAAGTATGAGAGAATTGGTCAAAATTAGCAAACTAAAATTCAGGTAAACTGCATCTACATCATTCCCTGGCATACCAATTTTATGACCTTTTCAAAAAAAGAAGTAAGGTTAGTCTGGCATGACCTGTTTGATGAAGTTGTCTTGGC